ATGTCATATATTTGGTTTCCTGACGGCTGACTTCTACCCACCAAAGTGAGCAGGGGCTTGGCTTTCCACAGTGACATTCTAAATGGCTAGACCAGTGCCAGGCACACAGTCAGACCTCAAGAGACGTGTGTCGAGTGACTGAATTAACCTGACTTACATTTTAACTAGATCACTCTGGCTGCTGTGGGGACTATGGATTTGACGGAGTCAAGAATCAAAATAGAGAAACCCATGAGGAGGCTTTCACAGAGGTCTGGGTGAAAGGGAAAGGTGGATGAATCAGAAGAGAACTGCCACTCGGGTGGTTGTAAAACCATGTAGTGTCCCTTAGTGTTAGAAAATTAGCATGGCACGATGTCCTCAAAGCCATGACTAAACAATTGTTTTCTTAATATGGGGCCATGAGCTCATAAAAGCAGGTATTTTTAAAAGCTGCTATCTTGAGAAATTATTCTTACGTACTTGTATGCTACCAAGATAAAAGTGATAAACTGATGAAATCTGACAAAATCTACTAACACTAAAAAATGCACATGCCCCTTGACCTAACAAGTTCATTGCTAAGAATTCATTGTATATACTCACAAAAGTATGTCACACTATATGCAGGGATGTTCACCCTGTCATTGTAATGTCCCCAAACTAGAAACAACTTAAATACCCATCAATAGGAAACTGCTTTAAAAAAAAAGAAAGAAATTTAAAAGAAACACATACAGTTATTAAATAAAATGAGAAAAGAGTATTAAGATACATTGTGTGTTTAGGAGGATTCTGTTTTTGTTAAAACACACAGATACACCATTGATATGTGTATGTGTGTGTGTGTATGTGTGTGTGTGTACAGTTTTTGATAGAGAAAAGGGAGAGAGGGAGGAGAGAAATAAATACAGATTTAAATAGAAAAGTTTTCTTTTCTTAAAGATATATAAAAAACATAAGCAGTGGTAATCTTTTAAAGAGAGAATAGGGTGATAAGGGGTAAAGAGAAAATTTTACTTTCTTAAAGATATTTCTGAATTATATCATTTTTTTTGAAACATAAACTTGTATTTTACTTTAAAAGACCAAACAATATCCCTTTGAGATAACTAGCAGAATAATCAAGAACATATGTCATCACTTGCTTTCTGATATTATGAACAGTAGCTCCAATGATTTACTTATATACACACGATGAATGAACACACATACACAACACGCATGTATGTGGATGAAAATACAACTGGATGTGAAGCCTGTGGATATGGAGGGCCAACTGCATTCACTGTACTACGCCATTTTATAGAAGGGACTTGAGCATCTGTCCCCCACAGGTACCAAGGGATGACCTTCTCTGTCAAATGCAGTGGGACAGAGGCCTTTGATTAGAAAACAGTAGAGCTCATATTCCTTGGTGACTTTCCATGCTTTAGATGGAAATGTTTAATTTGTGATTACACAATCTGAAACAATTTTCAACAAAGCTTGATGGATCTTTGCCACTATTGCTTCACTGACCATTTTTCATTCTCAAAAATAGCCATGAACTACTCCATTGCTTCATAAGCATGCATCTTTTAGTCTGTCTTAGCTGTGCGGCCATTTAATGTTAAATAAGTTCTATTCCATTCAGAAGGTATAATCTTTCTCCTCATTAAAGCTCTGTTGGCTAAGGAAAAGGTACCATTCAAAAGTAGATGTGTATCACTTTCTTAGATAAGAATTTATTTTACTTATACTCTAGGGGCTTATGTAATTAAACAAAAGTTACCTAGTGAAAGGGAAATACCACCTCACATATTCTTAAGTAGTACCTGTTGCCGATTTTAAAAAACTACATTATATTCAAACAGCTCTTTCAAAGGCAATTAATTATCCTGCCTTTACTTCAATCACCTGCCTACTCTAGGCTATAACAATGTCTCTATAATGGGGGGTACTTTGTTTACAGAGTTCGCTCTTTCTGCTCTAAACTATTTCTAACTTTAGGAATGTGAAATGTTTACCACATCCAATTTTTTTTTTCAGTTGTAAATGTATTTCTAAAGCAAGTATTCTAATTACCTTTTACTGGGAAGTTGCAGAATAGTTGGGTATTTTGCAAGTCAATTTAGGAGAAAAACAGAAAGCCTGGTTAAGTCCAATTAAGTGAGGTTGAGCACTGCAGGTCTAAACACACAGACAGAGCCTACACTCAACCCCTCCTGGGTCCTGCATTGTCATGTTAACAACAGCAAACAAAAGGTCCAAGGGAGGGAAAATGAAGATTTAACTAGGATAGAAGTTCTCTTTTTCAAGACCCACCCAGAGGGACACATACCAGATTTAAAAGTATTAGTCACCACAGGTCATTTGCATTTTTCTACCCAACCAAGACTGGAAACAGAGAAAAGCTTTATCACTGAAGAGCGCTATCCGGGGGAAAATAAACAAACAACAACGTAGTAAACTACATAGCAGTGCTAAAGCTGTGATGCCCCTAAAAGGTGGGATCTAGAACCACTAAAGTGATTTCTGACCATGGAGGGGTGGGGCAAGGTAGGTGAGCCTGGAGAAAGGAAACTCACAAGAAACAAAACCTGAGGTTAGAAGGTGGGATAAAACGAATGAGGATAAGTGACAAAAGCTGAGGTTGGAAGGTGGGATAAAACAAATGAGGATAAGCTAGGGTGGTAATACAAGACCAGTCAGACTGAGTGGAGAGGGGAACTCTGCTCAATCAAGTCCAGCCTCGCAGGTCTCAGGGAGTTTAGCTGATGATACCAACGGCCAGCAGAACGGAGGAGACTGCCTGCCAGGTCACTCTCTCGCAATGCAATCAAGTTTCCAGAAGCTCAAAGCTCAAATTGTTAGTGACTTCACCTGGTAATTACCAATACACCAAAAGCAGTGTTTTGAAAGGCAGCACCCAGGCCTGTGGAATGCCTCTGAACTAGATTAAACCACCAGGCTAGTAATTAAACTAACTTTATATGGGAGAGGTCTCTTGCTCAAACTTGAGCAATCCTGCTCATTTCAGGAAAGCCATTTTAGTACAGAAGTGGAAACAAGAAACTTCTGAGCCTCAATTTCAGCTCAGATACCACCGCTGGCACCTCTATTCTCCTAACTACAAAATTAGGAGACCGACTACTTCCAAGGGGTGTTAAAGGGGATTAAGATTATGAAACACTGTGAAGATGAAAAGGACTAAAACTCAGTCTTGTTTCGTTTGCAGGTAGTTTAACAGTCTCTGTTTCTGTGTCAGCAAACAAGTTTTTACCATTTTATCCATCTAGACATTTCGATAGCAGTCACTGCCATAGTACCTAAGTGCTTTTTACCAGACAACCCACTGAAAGACTGCTTGGCAGCTTGTCAAACTGACATGCTGCTACATCGTGTGATAGTTTGCAAGAGACTAAAAATTCAGAAGATGATTTTTCTTCAAATTGATGAATGCTATGCCTCATGACAATACTGTTTATTTCTTACAGCTAGATAACAATTTGGTAAATGAAACAGCTATCACGTTGTGTTCCACTACACAATCACCTTGAGCATTTTAAGTGCTACTTAAAAAAATCAGCATGTTTATTCCTAAACACTACAAGATGCCTAAATATAAGGCAAGGTTCCCCCAAAAAACTAACCTCAGAGAAGAGGGTGTCACATAATATTTGATCCTCACAAAGTCTCAGATCTTGGGGTACTCTTCCAACCACTTGACCTTGAGAAGTACAGAGCTCTATTTGGGGAAGGCAGATTTACCTGAAACAACCTCAATTATTACTAACACTGGATGTTTACCAAGGTCACCTAAAAAACTGAGTTAAAAAGAAAAGGGTAAAAAAGTATTCCTGGGGAATACTTTTACGAATGCTGTGCTGAATGTCAGAGCAAGGCATTTAAAGTTCACTCTAAAAAAGCAATATGTTACATATGGGACCATTATATATCCATTCAGGATAAATTGGGAATAGAAAAGAAAGAAAGCAACTGTTGTAATGTTACGTGTCTGTGGGACAAAATTTCTAGGGACAATATTGCACAGAGTCCAAAAGTGACTTCCTCTTGACAGAATGGAACGAAAATGAAGACAATTTTCCAAAACCATGTGAATGGCTGATTTAAAATGTGGATTAAGTGGTGATCAAGACGCTGATTCAAAATTCATATGAGAAACTTGAATATTTCTTGATATGAGTGTATAGAAAAAAGCAATATTAATTTTATGTAATGTGATTTTATATATCTGTGTGTAAATAAATGAAAACCAACATTTTAAGTAGTTGTTTGACTTACCTTCCTATATCCCTGAAGGTTTACTTATTCAAGTTGGCCATGAAACATTTTTTTTAATCTTCTCATTGAAAAACGGTGAACACCTTATGTCTGATGATGCCTTATAACAGGGCATATATGAAGCTAATTCTAGTTCAGTACAACTTCTTTGGTACAAGAGTGTAAATAACAAATTTCAAGAATTTTCTATAATTTTGGTTTTGCGATCATTCTGAAAAACTGTTTTCTAAATGATAAATGGTTAAGATGCAAAATAATTATGAAAAGGCACACACAGGGATAGGTTTGGAATGTACAGGATCAGAACATAAATTCCTGATCTGGTATGGGCTTTGCGCACGTGGGTAAACTGAGCTCAGCCCATCTCCCGAAAGATGGTGCCCTGTGATCCTGGCAGCTACCTTTCACAGACAACAGCACTGAAAATTAGGTTTTTATATCAGTAACAGATCCAAACAAAACTCCACCCAGTGCTGCGGCAAAGAGCTGTGCACTGAACAGTGTCTGTGGGGGTCATGACATCATACTCATCCTTGATTTATGTTTTCTAAGGACAGTTATCTGGCAGATGGCAGGAAAGGACACCTCCTTCTAAATGGCATGAAGGTACCCTATGAGCTCCAGCAGAAGATCTTCTCTAGGTATAGAAATGTGAGGAATCAATTTCATGCCTATGAGCAGTTACTAGTTTAGGAGATGAGCATATACTCAAATAAACGACTGAAAAGAGTTACCTTGTAGATCCCAAAGAAGCCCAGGTCCCTTAGGACAGACAGAGCACTGACTCGGGGACCAGTGGTGATCTCTCCAGCCACCTGCAAACGGATCTTGACAATTTCCAAAGGATTTGTGAAAATCACCTGGGAGGCTCCTGCCTAAAAGGGAGAAAAAGAAAAGATTTAGTATAACGTGGGGTGGTTCAGAAAGAGATGAGTGATTCTCTTCAAAAGAGCTCAGAATATTCTGTTCTCAATAGACTGTAGCTTCAATCCTTGTCCCATCAATTAAAACAGCGATTATGAGTTTGAATCAAAATATAGTTACTGCCTGGGAGGACTTGGGTCAGGCTCTATTTCCTTCATATGGAGGGTGAAAGAGAGCAAAGACCAGAGACTTGGCCCAAAACAGAGAGGCTTCTGTTGGCCTCACCCAAGTCCTCACACTAAAATGACAAACATTTCTTGAAGCACAATCAACTGCCGCCACAGGACTCAAAGCCAAGCACACAAAGGCAGCCATAAAATGAAAGTCAAGTGGTATCCAAATAAAGAGACACGAATCTGCCTGTCAGAACAGGAGGGGGGCAGAGAGGACACAGGCTCTCGCATGATGTACTTCATAATTCTGTCAATATTCTAACAACTGCCAGAGGACATGCAAACTTAGATGAAAGCTATTTTTTCTTCTCTTAAAAAATCAGATCGCTCATCAAACACCATTTTATGGACTTATGTATTATATTTACATATTATCTGTGCATAGAATTGCTCTTTTCATACAAGATAAATGTCAAAGTAGTAAAAATATGCATTAAATCAATTACAGCCCCAACTTTGAACAATGTGTGCTCATTCCAGCAAATGGCTGGGTGCCTCACCTCTAAGATCATCAGTGGAAATCTCTAAAGTGCACACTGTAAGGGGAATTTTAAGCTACAGCTATTTTGAAGCTAAGCCTATATTTATTATAAGCAATTCCATTCTTACGGTACTTCAACTTGTTATTCCTTGTCTCAAACATATTTTTATGTCATCCAAACTAAGGCTGACATAGAATGTACTTCAGAACCTTCATGATACAGCGACGTCACCGAACCAGACCACAGACATGGTGCTGACATTTACAGCTTAGCAGATGCTATCGTGGCAACATGCACAATTTGGGTCAATATCATACCAAACTACTTCTTGCCCGATCCTCTGATCCTATCAACCAACGTGCGTGCCTTCACAAAATGGCTTGTGCTAATCAAAACCAGCTGTAAGGATGGTCTTTAAAGTACAGTTTAATACCTGGAAATAAAAATTAGAAACATAAACATGCACTGGGAAGGGATAGATTAAATGCATTTGAGTATGTCCCTGAAATGAGATATTATGCTGCCAATAAAAATAAGGTGGGAAATGTTCAATACACATTGTGAAGTAAAAACTCTCAGATGCGTAAGTGCACGTACGCCTCTCCCGCTGCTATCCCTGACCATCATGTAGAAGAGAGACACCAATGCAGTGCTTTTGACGTGGTAGGGTTACAGATTTCTTTTCTGCTGTGTTTTTTGTTTCTTCTGCACAGACCATGTGTTACTTCTATAAAGAAGTCATATAGCAGTATTCATTTTTATCTAATATGAGAAGCAACGTTAACCAAAAAAAACAAAGAAAAATGTTCATCCTTTTAACTGTCTCAATCAAATCGTTTTTCCATTTTTACCAACTTGTTACCTTAGTCAAGACACATTTGTTCCTAAAACAGACTAGGATTTTCCCTCTCTCCACACATTCAAACTATGGAGAAGGCAGTATTCCCCTGTGTTTAGACTGCCACAGACTCCCTCTCTGTACTTGCTTAAATCATGTTTCACCCATCACCTTCATCTCTCCTGAGCGACTCTACAGAAGTGGTAGGAAAAACCTGGGTTGTATTCACCAAAAGGCCCACAGAAGGCCCTTCTAAAGTGGGAGGGAGAGGCTGGTGTGTTCTTCTGGTCCACGTGAAGCCATTCTGCTTCCACTGCTCCCAGGGCTCACAAGAGCCATGCTTTGCTCCCAGGCTGCTGTGACCCGCAGGCAGGTGGGAAGACCAGCCCCTGCAGCCCTTGAATATTTTGTGAGTTGGCACCTGCATCTTTTCAAGCGACACGGAGGGGGTGGCTGATGGGAGGCACAATGAAGAGATGAAAAGGACCTGGCCTAGTAACAGCACTGAGGGTACAGTAAGGATTATGTCTGTGCTTCTGGACCTGAGTTCTCATGTTGTGAAAATGAACACAATTTTAAAAATTGTTTCATGGGGCAGAAGTGCTGGGAAAGATTCGCTGAGTTGGAATTAACCTGAGGCTGACTTTTAAATGCTCAAAAGTGGGTAAGACCGTGTCTACCACGGGTAGAATGGCAAGCAGTCAGCGTACATATACATGGATCTTCTTGCAGAACAGAACAGGAACGTGACGCACACTCACCAAGTGCTGCCAACAGCAGCTAAGGGGCAGTTGAGTATCACATGTGACAAGTGATCCTCAGTAACCACTGGTCGTACCATCTCACTTGTTACGAGGATCAAAGAGACGGCCAACGCACAGCAGCCAGCACGGGGCGCAAACAGTGACTCCAAACACATTGGTTTCCTCTCCTCTAGCTCCTAAACTGATGGCCCTCCTCCCTGGTGGCATATGTTACAACTGCTTGCAGAGCTTTTCAAATACAGTGACTTCCAGATCTTACTCCTGACAAATAAGATTTCTACATTTGCCCCTTCCTATGTGATTAAAACGTGTGGTTAGAGTTGAGAATCATTTTATTTCACTGCATCATCTCTAGGCTGCCTTTCAACTCTGAGAAGCTGCTTAAAGCTGTGATTTCTAATTCTAGTTTTCTACATTCTTTCAGAGAGTAACATTTATATGTTTTACATCTGATCTCGTAACAAACCTTTTATACATCTCCAAGTGGTAACATTATTAAAGGGTATGATTGTTAGGTATAGAACTGATATCTTATTCATTATCTGATATCATAACTAATACCCACACAAGTTAATATTATATACAATAAAACAAGAAATTATACTCAACTCCCTTGACTCCAAGCCAATTGACAGATACCAATCTTTTAGCATCGCACAGTGAAGTCTGTCTAATCACTAAGGATGATGCAAAAGTTCCCTTCAGAGAGCTGCAGGGAACAGAGGCAGTGGGAAGAAAGAGTGCAGTGATACTAAGAAAAAAATAATGTCGCACTAGTTACCTCTGGTGGGCTCAGAAAGAAAGAGCCTACAGACTCAAAGTGGCACATTGTAGAGGGGCTGAAGATGAATCGGCTCTTTGGAGTCAAGCTGGAAGGAAATGAGAGACTCCAAGGCACCGAGAGAAGATGCTTATCATCAGATGCATGATGTCTGGGCACCATCATGACTTGATCGCTGAGCGGTGCACTACTGCTGCTCTTCAGTCTCCTGGTCTATTATCCATTCACAGTACCTTACCCACGTCCCTCCTCTGCAGAGATCAAAGAGAGCTGAATCTGCAGACAGTGGACAGGAACACCTATTGTGCACGTGACGTCTCTGTGTCCCTCATCACTTGAAGGCTCTGGCTGTGTGAAGACACTGCTTTTTGTATGTGGGCAATTTTGTCACAAATCATTTCCCTGTGACTTTCTGGAGTCTGTGACAAGTAGGCCAGGTGACGATTTTCCATACAGGAACTGGCTCCGTGTGGCCTATTATGTTTACAGGTGGGGAGACTGACTTGTCTTCAGGTTTCTCAGTATCGTCTTTGTGACTGAAATCTTAGTTGCTATCCAGTATCTGGGTCCATCTAAAGAGAAACACATATACCTATTGCAGGCTCACTTCTCCTACCTGATCGTTCATTCATATATTTATCCACCAAATATTTATAAGCAATCATGTTCACAGTTTGTCCTAGCAACAAAAAAGACACAAGGTGAGTGAGAAAGAATTCCTGTTCTCAAGGAGTTTGAAACAGGAGTAGAGATAATAAATATTCCTTAAGCATCCATCATAGGCTATTAGGGTGTTGCTTTGCATGTATACATATCTTCAGTCTACTCAAAACGTATGTTTTTCCAGATTTTACATAAGAGGAAATTGAGCCATAGAAAGATTAAAGCAACTATTACGGGCTGCACTGTGTTCCACCGAAATTCATATACTGAAGTCTTAGCCCTCAGTACCTCAGAATGTGACTGTATTTGAAGATAAGACCTTTTAAGAGGTAATTAAGGTAAAATGAAATCCTATGAGTAAGCCCTAATCCAATGTGACTGGTGTCCTTACAACTAGAGGAAACCGAGATATACAGAGAAAGGACCACGCGAGGCAGAGTAAGAAGGCGGCCATCTTCAAGCCAAGAAAAGGAGCCTCAGAAGAAGCCAACCCTGCTGACACCTTGGTCTTCGACTTCCAGCCTCCAGAAATGTGAGAAAATAAACTTATGTTAAGTCACCCAGTCTGTGGTATTCTGCTATGGCAGCTCTAGCAAACTAATACAGCAACTTACCCTTAGGGCTACACAACCAGCAAGCAGAGGAAAGACTGAGTCCAAGAAATATACTCCTTATGAATACAAAAAATGGCATGTGAGAAAAGATAAGTGAGATAAGAGCTAAAGTCCAGACACATTGCCATGGCAATTCAAAGGAGGGAGAGATTTCTGCTGACTTGGATAATCTGGGGAGGTGGTAAAACACATAAGATAATGCATCAACTGGTGACTGAAGTGCAATTAGGATTTAGGTAATCCAGGCAAGGAACGGCACAAAGCGACAGTGACAAGAGCTTGCTACACTTAGAGGGTAAAGAGACCCAGCACCACATCTGTCCAAAGAGATTTTAATTACAATGATAATTATGATGAGATCAACATTATCGTCCTGTAGCATTTACTGAGTACTTACTATGTACCAGGCATCGTGCTAAGAGCTCTGTAAGAATTTTCTCTTTTGGTCCTCATAATGTCATAAGGTAGGTAATAACATTATTCCAGTTTTATAAGTGAGCAACCAAGGCTGAAAAGAGGTTACGTAACTTGCCTGAGGTCACACAGCTAGGAAGGTGGAGCCTGGATTCAAAGCTAGACCTGCTGGATGCCAGAGTCTGAGCATTTATTTCCACTGCTTAACATGGCAGCATGGAA